AACTAAATGTGTTTATGCGAAAGCGTTGAAAGATACAAGACAACAGAGTGTTGTCAATTTTCTAAAAGATCTCATCGAGGATGGTGTCGAGATTCATGGTATTCAATCAGATAATGGAAATGAAAACCAAGGCATCACTCCACAGTATGCAGAGGAACACGGTATTGAATGGCGTTATTCGAAAGCAGGAAGCCCTCAAACCAATGGACAGGTAGAAAGGATGAATGGCACGATAAAGCGAGCGCTATTCATGGGGATGCGTTTAGGAAATAGAGACTGGGTGAGTATGTTGCCACAGATTGTAGAGAACATTAATTCCACAGTAAGTTTTGGCAGTGGTAAGAAACTTCGGATGGTACAAGAGATGGAGGCAGATGTTCAAGGAGCGGCTCAAGCCCAACGTGCGCTTAGGACTAAAGGAAAGGGTGTGAAGGTACTACCTCCATTCAATGTAGGTGATGTTGTCAGAAAGTACATATCAGGTCAAGGGACGGATATAAAAAGGCGTGCTAAAATGGGTTACTTTTCTGAAGAGAAGTATGAGATAACAGCCGTTGTTCCTAATCCTCACCCTAACTACATGAACTCTTATAAAATCAAATCTGTCAATACTAATCACATACTGCCAGGTCTATATCCGGCTTGGCAATTGCGTCTAATTCCTAAAGAGGATGCCGCTGGGGAGGCTCCGCAAGTTGAACCTGAGATTGAAGACGATGAAGAGGAAGTACCAGAAGGTGAGTATGAAGTTGAAGCATTGTTAGATAAAAGAACACGTCGAGTTGGTGGAAGACAAGTAGTAGAATATGAAGTATTATGGAGAGGATATGACCGTGATCAGTCAACTTGGGAGCCGAGAAGTGAACTTATACGTAATGCAAGAGATGCAGTAAACGATTATGAAAATAGTCACTAATTCCTAGGCTGTTCTACAAATGACTTGAACAGATTGTAATAGCGCTGATGAACAGCATAGGTATGACCCATCCTACGTTCGATTTCCTTCTGATAAGCGTGATCTCCATTATCCCTTTCAGAAAGATGCATCCCCACTGAAATTCGAAGGCGTTTCTGTGTTACACGCTTTCCAAACATTCGTTCCATAGCATTACTAAATTCGTCGCTATACCAGGCATCGGTTGGAATACTTCCATCAGGTTTTAGAAAAAGACGATCCTGTCCATTGCCCTTTCTGACATTTGCTAACATGTTAACGTATGGTTGAATGGTGTTTCCCATCTGAATGAGGACATTCTTTTCACCAGTCTTATTGCATTTTCGGATGAAGACAGTTTTCCCTTCGTTGTTCACCGTAACATTAGCGTCTTCACTAATCATCGCTTTGAAAATATCGCATCTACGAATTTTATCTGCATCCAGGTTCATCCCAAGAGCAATTAGAAATTGATGCTCCACTATATTTCCCTCATTGATGAATGTCAAAGCGACTTTCAATCCTGCTAAGAGTTCGCTGTAAGGGACATAATTGGTGATATCTTCCTGGGTCATCTCTTGGGATGCTGCTTCATTTTTTGACTGTTTGAACCTTTCGAATGTCACATTCTTGAAGTGAGAGTGGAATGTGTCTGTAAAATGACTATCAAGGTCGTCCATTGCATCCTCTGCTAGATGAAGGATCATTGCCTTTTCAGCCCTCGTAGCATTGCGTGCTATTTTTGACACCAATTTGATATAATTGTAATATGTATGCTCGTTTGTCCATTTTTCCTTGATCCTGCTAATGAGTATCTCAGGTGTTTGGAACAAGGAAAGAAGATTGTTGCCTTTGAGTTGATTTAGACGCGATTTATCCTGTTTCTTGGTGTTGGGTGACTGCTGAATCCTGTCAAGGATGGCATGTAGCGTTTCATATAGAGCCGACTCGGCATCAATAGGTTGGGGGTCTTGTTGCATTTTCAGGGCTGATCTGTATTCTAAGAATAGAAGCCGGTTTACCTCTTATATAGACATTTTATTTCATGTTTTATCGATAGATTTTCTCCATCTATCACATCATCTGCTGTAAAATGTACTCGATCGTCGGCAAGTTGAAACTATTTCCAACTATTCTCAGCCTTGCTTTGTTAGAGCTAACCATCGACGTATAATTATCCGGAAGCCCCTGTAACCTTTCACGTTCTAAGTGCGTCAAGAACCGAAAACCCCCACTAATCACTAATGTGCTTTGATAAGAATCTGTAGTCAACAAGCAGTTTGATTTTCCATCGGTTCTTAACGAGACTGTCCCCGTTTTTTTGCCGTTTTCCATCGGGCGTATCAAACAAGAGACTGTGTCGAGCGGAGGGTGGAATTCTTTCAATTCTTTCCTCTTGATTGCTGGATTCGGTGGAACAGATCTTTCAACAATATCTTCCAGTTTAATACCTTTACTTCGTATCGGTTGGGGAATATACCAGTTTGCCCAATAATTCCGTCTTCTTGATTGTGCTGCAAAATTACCGCTGTCAATCGCTACTGGCAACACTCCAATCTCTCGACTAATCCGTTGCTCCGTTTCTTTTTCCATGTAACTCACACACTCCATAAGAAACCAACGGGGCTTCTTCGCTTTGAGAATATGAACATAGTGTTTAAAAGGTTCAGCCCTTGGATCATCATGGTTCTTCCGGATGTGATGATTAGAAACCATTGTCGAAAACGGCTGACAAGGGATGCCACCTATAAGAAGGTCAAAGTCCGGCAATTTCCCAACATCTGCTTTAGTGACATCCCCAAAGTTCGTATGATTAGGAAAGTGATGTTGATACACGGCTAAAGCGTCTTTGTCGACTTCGAAATATCCTACACATTCCGCGCTGGGAAGGACATGTTGAAGAGCAAGTTCGCCAACACCAATACCAGAGCATACACTGAGATAACGGATGTGCCTCAACGGCTGCGGTTGTTTCCACATCCTCAGATTATAGCCGGGAATGAATCCTACATCACTAAAGATCTCTGCGAATCTCTGTTGGTATGGGTAGGTGGGGTCGCTGTCGAGGTAAACTATGAGTCGAGGAAAGAGATCACGGGCGGTTTTCGGATTTTTCATCCTCCTCTCCTTAGCTGCTAATGACAGCACCCAATCTATTCTTTTGTGAAGAAAGCAGATGAGGCCTTCTTTGAATAGTGTTGCTAGCCATGTTGAAGATCCAACATTAGGGACGATGGCACAGATCCGCTCAATGTGTCCCTTCGACATCTCAAGAAACACCTTATTCCAAAACTGTCCATGAAGATTTATGTTGTCTGGGTGCCCGAGGTGCGAAGGAAAAAGGGCATGTCCTGGGGGGTTCAACCATACCCACTCGCCCGAGTCCCATTTTTCTAAATGAAGAGCGTTTATGAAGGAGCCATCTAGCTGCATCCCATATGTTTTCTTTGCCCGCACCACTGACTCTACGTGCCAACAGGGATCGAGATCAATTCCATTTGTTAATTGGTACACCTTCTCCCATAACCACTGCGGAGTTAGGTATTCATGCTCGTAAGTCGAAGACAGCTTTAGCAAGCGCTCTTCGGGTGCTGTATCTGCTTCGGATTCCGACGAGGAGGAATCGGTTATTGCGTCTCTAGTTCTTTTTCTTAATCGTCTACTCCATCCATTCTCCCCTCCTTCTACTACAGAAGCATCACCGCTAGGGTCTATTGCTGAATCTATGACAACTGCTGAATCAATACGATCGTCCGATTGGCACTCCTCTTCTTCTAATTGACATGCTCCGCGCTGGCTTTCTTCTAGTGCGTTGCGCATCTGGACTGCCACCACATCTTGTCGTCGTCCGAAAAATTGGATGGTTTTATGCCAGACTTCCTCGTATGGTAGCCTGTTTTCCTTTGACAGCTTCTCTATCATCAAGATGGTGCCAAGTGTTGTAGGCATGTCCTCTTGAGATACTGTTTTCTCCAGCTCGATGATGACTTTGCCCGCAGTGGAAAAATTGTATCCTGTCCGTCTTGCAATATTCCAGCGTTCGTACAGGTATGTATCTGAAGTTTTGTAACGTACTTTATACAACTTTCCGGTCAGGATTTGGTGCATTGCTTTTGCCGTTTCGAAGAATGTATTGTCCACATCTGGACAGATGATGAACCATGTCGCCTTCACACGCTGTTCCTGAGTTGTTAATGCGTCCATGGCATGAGGAGTTAGTGTATTGAGCGGAGAATGTGTTTAGCTTTTTGTGCACCGATGCACGGATTTTTAGGGGTCTTTACATAAGCAGCTCTACATGTAGCTGTTATTATACTAAATGTTGTCCTCTATCTGGAACGAAAGACGTCACATTTAAAAGCTGATTTAATGTCAATATACAACATGTCCGGAAATCCCAGAGAAAGACCATGTCGTGACTGCTTAGAGGTGATACCTTGGGTGGCTCGACATATCAGATGTTTACGTTGCTACATCAAGTACAAGGAACAGAAGTTAGCAGAAGCCATTGATCGCTTCATGCGTCAAGATGATTCTGATTCTGAGTGACACCTTAACAACGCAGTGAAAATGTCTGGCGTGGGTTGGCGGTTCTCTCCTAGCTTCCTTAGATAACGACAAGCTACCTGCTTGATTATGGGGTTGTGTAGGGTGAGGGTAAATGACCCCGAAGTCAACTTGTATGTTATACATAGAACCCGAGATCGGGGTCATTTACCCTCGCCACCCAGATAGCAGTGGTTCACTGCACAAAAAAATGTATTTATAACCTTTACTACATTCATCCCTCTGGTTCCATGCATAACCATTTGTTATGATACGCTACACACACTTCCGCTAAGTCAATGAATGTCTGGCTGGTTTCATGTAGGCGCTCGCGTTTCCTCTTGTTCTCATTTTGCTTCTGCTTCCTCTTGCTGTCTTTTTGGTAATAGGCTTTCATCCCAAAGTATGCATTGATCATCTGTGCCACTAAGCCTGTTCCTTCCTCCCTGCGTCTGTCGAACTTGAACTGAGTTTTGATTTCCTCCACCGGTATCGAAGTCTGCATCTGGTTAGGTAAGGGAGTACCATCGCCCAGTGTCACCCCGTTTTCGGTAAACACGCGGTTGATGATATGCGAGGGATTCGATCTGAGTTCTATAACCTTGTCGATAAAGTCGGGCTTAGCACTCCACACTTCTGCCATAATGTCATCCTCAGTATCCTCGGAGAACCGCTTCTTGAAAAAATACTTTGCCAACTGAAGGCATTGCTCCAGGGAGGCATCGTTGCGATAACTCATGTAAAGATACTGTTCCGCCTGGTGGGACTCGATGTCTGCTATGTTGCCCCAGTAGAACGCAAGGTCTTTCTTTGAGGGGAAACTTTTCAGATATTCCTGATTGTTCTCCAGTCCGGCTTCAGTAGAAACGGGATGTATCTCGATGCCAGCCTTGCGGCAGAACATGTTGAATGTCTCCCATTTTTTAGTGTTATTGTTAGCATTGTATTCGATTTCTAAGTCGGACACCATCTGACGAAAGATGAGGCAATCAGGCATTTCGGCTGGCCTCCGATTGTTGCATATGCCAAAAGATCGCCTGAAGTCCCGGTGGAGCAACATGGTGGAATCCTTTGGGTGACGGACGCGGTGGAGGGATTGTATAAAGTCTCGCACAGGAATGAAGGGTGAGTAATATCCGTAGATGCGGTCGAAGACATCCTTTTTGTTGAAGTTGACACCAACCGAAATGGACACATTTGTGATGACAACTCGGCACCGCTCCCAAATGGTTTCGACATTACTCAGCCTTTTCTTTTCTGCTTCGTTTTCGGCATAGTAAGCGAAGATGTCAGTTCCTTCTTCCCAGTCAGGAAATGTTTTCAAGATGGTTTTAAGGATGGCATCAACACCTTGCTTACCTCGTTTGAAAGGAGTGAAAATATACAATTTTTTGCCCTCCTTGAGATCACGCAGAGCAGAGCAGATCCAATCCGCGTAAAGTTTGATCTCTACGAACTTGCGGGGTAAGGGAGGCAAGGAAGTATCGAGGACTTCGTATTCCTGCCTCTCCCAGCCGTTCTCTATGATTCCCTTGACAACATTCAAGGAAAGATTCGTCGTGAAGGCATCCATGAAGATGACCTTTTTTGCCATCTGGCAGAAGGCGATGAACTGTTCCCAGTTCTTCCAGAGGTTTGCTTGGTGGGTTTCGGCATTGCCGAAGTATGAGGTGAAGACGGTTTCCGGTTCATCCACGACTACGATGTCGAAGATTTCGGTGAGATAATGCAGAGACTGAATGCTACAGATGACGTTCTGAGAATCATCCATCTTGCCTTCGATCTTCTGCAAGGTGTTGCATGTACGATAACACAGGAAATCTAAGCATTCCTCCGCAAGCCTGCCTACAGTGTTTTCTGCTAAAGTAATACGGGGGCATATCCATAGGGTTCGCAGATTCTGACCGTACCTCCTGATGTATCTAGCAACAGCCCCCGTTTTGTTCCTCCCCATACCTCCGCCTAACAGGGTAAATTTTTTGGCCGCTTGATTCAAGATTACATTCCAACCGAAAGGATTACCTACCCCATCGGGAATGTATATGGGAGGTGCAATATCGGTATCTTCAAAATAGTCATGATCAACTTTGTGCAACTCTGGAATGTCAAACTGGCGCTGGAACTTCTTCGTCACGACTGAAACGTTGATGTCCGGGTAGAAGCGTTCCAGCAGCGTATCCATAAACTTAGGTGATACGTTGTACCGTGTTGCAGAGTTCCAAGCCTGGTAGAACTTTTGCATCCGAGCGGGAGAAAGGTCTTTCTGCTTGTTCCATGCCCAGAACTTAGGGAATTCAATCCCTACTTGCCGACACCAACACATGACTTTCCAGCAAGTGTGGTGATCAAGGGTTCCGGGACTTCCCCTGGGAGGATTTGGCAACATGCTGAGTTTTTGAAGGTTGTTCTTAGGGTCATAGTTGTCGGGTACGGGTAAATCAAGTTGGGGGATGGAGAGGATGTCGATGCTCTGAGATTGAGTTCGACCTGCGGCATTTTTCTTCCTCAGAGATGTGACGGCAGGAAGTTCGCCCAGGTCAAAGGTCATGGTGCTGATGTCGATTGCATCTTCGTCAAAGTCATGGAGGATAAAGTGCTTGCTCCTCGCGGTGTTACCCTCGATGTAGTCCTGCACTGCCTGACCGGGTTTGCTTTGGTTGATACACTTGAAATTGCTGTTCCTGTAGTATACACTAACATCCCAGCCGTGTTTCCTGGCGATCTGTTGGAGGACTGCGGTAGATTCCAGATTTCCCGCATAGTAGTTAGACAGGATGATGTGCCAGGAACCTTCATGACCAGAAATCTGAAAGCGCGCATGCGGAAAATACTGCAAAATAATACTCTTAGCATCATTCAAGGAGATGGGTGTACCCTCTTCTTCACCTTTCTTCTGTTTAGGGGGGTCAATGTCAAAGTAGACTTTGTGGTGACGATAAGGGGCGAATACAAGAATCTCATATATGTAATGATTGGTGGCTGTGATCTCTATAAGTTGCTCCGTCGTGGCTGTGCCCCATAGACGTCCTTTTTTAGGATGGTGACACCAAAGGGGCACCTTATCCGGTGGCAGTTCTGCGAGAACTTTATCCTGAGCGCCAGTAGCCTTTTGGACACCAGGTATTTCGAGGTTGCCTAACCATGTGATGCCGAGCCATTTTACCATTCTAAATTGCTGAGCCATTCTGAACTTAATTCAGAAAGGAATTAAAATTAAATAAGGCGTCCGCGTTCCGGACTTATATGCAAGAAGATTTGCATCGAAAATTGCAGAGGATGACGTAATTTCAGCTGTGCATCGAAGTACAGAATATTTGCATCGAATTGCGTTAGTATAAAGGTTTTTGTTTATTAAAATTTAGTAAAGGATTATTGCACTCAGTTCCATATGCCTTCCTCGAAATACATTTACACGGTGAAACTGCTTCAGCCGGATGGCTCCTTTGTTGAACATTCCGCCCCTACGATAACGGCACTGCAACCCAAGGTGAACCTTTGCTATCACACCATCCGCCGGATGTTAGATGGAAAAGAATGCAAATATACATCTAAGTTTCTGCAGATAACGAGAATGGAAGCACCGCGCAAGAAATTAGGAACAAGTTCGCCAAAGAGACTAAGGGGGAGACCTCGGAAGATAGATTCATAACAAAAGATGTATATACTTGATATGACTCTTTGAATGATTTATACAATAATTTCACACAGTGAACAATGTCTGGTGTGAGGTGGCTCGGCTCTCCAAAGGTACTCTAGATAACCACGTGCTACCTGTGTTGATTATTGGGTGGTGTAGGTTGAGGGTGAATGACCCCGAAGTCAACTTGTATGTTATACATGGAAACTGAGATTGGGGTCATTTACCCTCGCTACCCAGATAGCAAGGGAAACCTGGTTCACTGCGACTTATTTGCATGAGTCACAATGCTTAGGTAAGCAAAAGATGGCATCCCACTTTGTCGATGAGAGATCGAACATGTTATATCGATAGGATGAGAGGTCATGTATTGAACCATCATATCGATAAGATGGGAGGGTTCCTTTTCCGTTTATAAAAGAGGGTCGCCGGTCTCCCCTCCCCAGCTCGAAGCCTTCTTTTCAAAAACGATTCCATATACAACATTCGAATACAGCTGCAATTAACAATGGAGAAAATGATGAGGCGAGCAAGTGAAGAAGAGCTAAATGAGATGAAGAGGTTCTACCAACTCACAGTTGACAATGAGATGCACCAAGCAGTCGTAACAACGAATCGCCGTAGAAAGGAGGCAATTGAAAGGAAAATGGTTAAGAAGGATGTGAGGACAATCATAGGCGAAGATGGTTCAAATATGTATGTGGCATCACTAGTAGAGGAGAAGCTAAATGCTTTGGTGGATGACGTCAAGCAGGGGCTAATGGAGGCAGGATATACAGAAGACCAAGTGATGGAGATTATCACAATCTACCACAAACAACGAAAAGTGTTGAGACTGAAGGTCTCCCGAGTACCATCAGTAAAGGAAGGTGGAGAGATGGAGTCCCAAGCTAAAGTGATTTCATAAAGTGTGGCATTTGAACCTAGTGGCAAGATAAAGTGATTTCATAAAGTGTGGCGTTTGAACCTAGTAGCAAGAATTTGCTCGAGTAAAATCACCAAACGAACCGCCCAAGGGAAACGAACCGCCCAAGGGGAAACGAACCATGGAGTCTTGAGAAGAAGCGAATGTCAAGTTTGGACACGTGAAATATTAGATGCGTAAAATTTTACGTGTATGTCAGAGAAAATTTTCGGCGTAGATGCACACATCCCTTCATCAATAGTCCGGGACTTGGACAAACACCTTGGAAGACTCGAAACACTTTGAAACACTTTGAAACACTTTGAAACACTCCAATGCATTGGGCAAACACTTCAATACGGCTTATTATATAGAATATTATAAGCCGGGTATATCATATTATTGTAACGACGAGGACGTCTTCGAGAGATCGCGAGTAAGCCCAAATCGGACGCGGGAAGCACGAATCGCGTGACCAACTCCACCGATTGGGTTACCGCGACCGAAAAAACCGGTTCGGAGAATGGCAATTGGCGCATTAGATTTCAGCGTGCCTCGTACAACCTGTGGAGGCCCGAGCCAGTGCGGAAAAGGAAGAGATCGGTACCGCCACCAATAAATCAGTTGCGGTGCAGCGACAC